CACGCCTGAATTTGGGTGTTGTGTTAACATTGGAAAGCAATTGGCAATTAACGATTTAGCACCGTGGTCGTGCCGAATTTTGCTTTCAAGGCAGTGGGTTCCACGACACAACAACGTCTTCTTCCTCATATTGTCTTGACACCATAGAGGGAACAAAATTATCTTAAGGAAACAACGGTAAGTTGAGTTTAAGTTGTTTATTTTATGTTTCCTTAAGTTTCTCTACATATTATCTAACAATCTTAAGACAATGAACAATCCAAACCCAACGTAATATGTAGAGAAACTTAAGGAAACACAAAATAAACAATACAAAATTGTATTTAAGTACTCGACAGAGGGAAAAAGAGATAAATTTGAGGGTTGATTTTTCTGTTTTTTTGTGTTACAAAACTGAAAAGAGCCACGTATTTATAGACTATTTGTAATCATTCAAATAGTCATATATTTTGATGTAAAGTTATATCTTTTGATAAAATGATTCAACCTTTACAAAAGATACATTATTTCATGAAAAGTTGTGATTCTTCCTTTTTAATAAAAATAATTTTATTAAAAAATTCCAACAGTTTAGAGCAGCAGGAGTATGAGTTCCTTCCAAGTACACGCGTGCAGTACCTTACTTCCAATTTGGTGGCAAGTCAAGAAATATGTTCACTTTACTAGAGTCTGCAAGTAAAGTTTCTCCGACTACCAAACGGTCCCCTAACGTCATTCTAGGGATGGACTCAAGTTCTGCAAAAACTCGTCTCCTCTGAGCTGAGGCCCTTTCGTCTCTTTTGGTTGGCCAAGCTGCGATCTTGTCCAAAACAACTGTCATGTGCATCTCTGATTGGACTACTTCAACAAAGTCCCAGACAAAGACTGTTTCTTCTTGCTCAGTCTTAACATCCGTGTGCCATCTGGCCTACTCTAAGGGGTCAAAGGTATGTCTTCCCCGAGAACGTAATAGAAGGCTGGGGGTTCCGATATGTAAGGTTCTTGACGTTCCGATATGTATTTATTACCAATTAGTACAAGTTAATTAACATCCCAACCATCATTACATGAAGACAAAGAAAAGTAAATTGCAATTCATATAAAATAGAAGTAAGTGAATAAGTGAATTATATTTCAGATTTAAAAAAAAATTTAAAATCAAATAGCAGTTTAAGCAATTACTGGTGTTTTTAGAGGCATTATTTTTTTTATAGAAGTTATTAAATATCCCAACCACCATTACATGGGGATGAACAAGAATAAATTGCAACCGACAATAAAAGTAAATGGATATGTGAGGGCTATCTGTAATGAAATTGGTTGTGAGAATAAATAAAGTATAGTTTATATTTTCAAATGAAAAAAAAAATCAAATAATATTGAGAAACAGAAACCCCATACATGGAACAACAAAGAAGATAACAGAACATGAAAACATAGAACAACAAAGACTCGTCACAACCAAACCCCAATAAAAAAATGAAAATAATATTTAACAACAAGAAAGTCATTTCCTCTTTCATAGAAATCCAAGCTTGAATTTCACACCCAGAGGAAATGATAAGCGCCAAGGTTGCTCGTGTTTACAAAGCTAGAGGTCCTTCTAGGATCCTTGCAAACATTCACAAAAACGACTAACTTACCGAATGATTCCAACCAAGAGTAAGGTTAGAAGATGAATCACTCTTAGATCGGACTTAGAATCTACGATGGTCACT